CTTATGGAAAGACCTCAAGTGAAATTAATAATGCTAAATGTTGAGTCCTAAAAGTGATTTTCATAAATAATTTAAAAAATGCCAATATCTTTTAATAAAGGAAAAACAAGGGGGGTGGGAAATGAGAGCTTAAAGTACTACTTCAGGTGTACAGTATCGGACGACAAACCAGATTTATCTATTCTTTCAGATCCAGCAAGATCAACAATCAGCAACTTGCTTCTTCGAACTATAGGTACACTATTTCTACCAGGTAAATCAGCCCTAGAGGCTTTTTCTTGAGAAATCATCTCATCTACAGCATTCTCTTGCACAGCTCTGCGAATAAAAACCTGTAAACATAAAAGATTCAAATAATGAATAAGTCCAGATCACTGTTATTCAAAGAAACAATGTCTACAAGTTTGAAAGCAAGCATTAATTAACAACCCAAAATTATACAACAGACCCACCATGAGAATCGCATGGCTACGTGAAGATTCCGTATTCAGCTTCGTGTTAGCTGCATGACGGTTTGCCTCCCCAATTTGCAGAAGTTGTAAAAAGTGATCAAGATCTTTAACTCTTACAACTGAAGCACCAGGAAGTGACACTTCACCAGTCTTGGGGTCCTCACTAATAGGAATATTAGTCTTTTCTGGTGCAAGCAAATCTTGAATAGATTCCATGTACAACTGGAGCAACAAACACAGTTCTTAATAAATGAGCAATCACCCAACATGTGGTAGTAACATGACTATCTACTTCAACATGTAAGGGATCATATGACAAGTAATCTTTAGAATTTTGTAACAAGTACCAACTGAGAAAATATAAGTTTATGTTCAAAATAGTTATTGAAAGATATGGCAGGCATTTAAACTGCAAACAATATATAAAGACAAGGGTTTGACTGAAAACAACTATATTTTCAGCCATTCTTCTTCTACTGGATAAGAAGGACAGAGTTCTACAAGAGATGGTGGAAGTTCACACCTTCCTGATAGTAATACCTCATCGTAGTCTCATACTATAAGTTGACAAGTTGATGCGATGGGCCTTAAACTGCACACATTGTTAACTAGACTCGTGTTCAAATCCATGAAATTATAGCTTACACCTCCAGGTTCACCAGTACTTTCCGAAGTTGTTATTAAGACTTGCAAAGTTCTACTGAATTCCAAAACTTTTTTTGTTTTTAGCAGTGTAGCGTTCAACTCAAGAAATGAAAAGTTTCAATTAAGATTTTACATGGAGCAGTGAACAAAACCATGCTAATGGTGGAAATCTAGCACTTCAACAATAAAGTTAGCCCTGAACTTTGACACAAAACCCTGACCATAGTGGATTATCAAACTCTCTAAGAAGTTCATATGAAAGAACAACAAACACAAAACACATAAGGAAATGTTGATGTACCATAGATTGCTACCTGCAAGTAGGAAACTTCCACGATATCATTAGCTGGAGCTGTATTCGAAATTATGTCCTCCAAAGCTCTAACCATAATACCACGCTCAGATGGGTCATCTTTACCCAGACTGCCAACTGTGTAAGTTTTCCCGGTACCGGTTTGGCCATAGGCCATAACTGTCCCATTATATCCATTCAATACACTCTGCAAAAGAATAACAAAATTGAATGTACATTATTAACATGTCATCCAAAAATTTTAAAGATAAATTTCTTCTGCGATAATTACAGAAGTAAACATTGGCTTGAAATTGACCAATCAAATAAAGATATCCAGACAGGTGCAATAGAACGATACATTGAGCATTTCAACACCTTACATGAATATATATACTGGGCCACTCACCTCAACTACAGGTTTTGCCACTACTTGATAAACACGATTTTGGGAGGCTGTTTCAGTAAAAACTTCATCAAATCTATAAGACTCAGAACTCCAATTGTTCTTTCTCAACTTTAGCCGCTTCAGCTACATTATACATAGAGAGAAAATCGATACTTTTAATTTATTAGATTATTAAATAAATATGCTTTAAGAATCAATCATCATAATTCTGGGAAAATGTCACACTTCAAATCACCTCTGGCTGCAACTCAACACTGTCTGCGTAATCAGAATCCGAACTGCGGTCCTCGAGATTTCTCGGTCGAAGCCTAACAGCAACCCTCACTCTTCCAGGCTCTGTTGGAAATTATAAGCCAAAGTCCCAAAACAAAAACAAACAAAATACTTCTTTTAAAAATTTAAATTTTGTTCATTGCTCTAAGACTCTAAGACTCACATCAGCAAAATCAAAGTTGAAATGTGCTTGATATTAATTTCGATTAACAAGAACATAAATTCCAAAATTCAAAACTAAATGAGAGAGAGAGAGAGGAGGGGAGACCTTGCTGATAGTCGGGGTTAGAATGAGGAGTTCGAGAGTTGGGAGTAACGGAGCGCCGTGAGCTTGAAGACGGCTTAGAGCGATGGCTATGGGCTTGTGACGACGTCGTTTGTCTACTGGAGTGAGTGGGAGGGACTTGCTGTCTCTCAGACCTTCCACTAACTCCGTTATTGCCATTATTATGCACCGCTGCCACTGCTGTTGCCGACGACGATGATCGTACAGAAGACGAAGAAGACGAAGACGAAGAAGACGAAGAAAAGGAAGCAGCCATTGATTTTTTAAATCAATTCTGAGTCAGTAAATCCAGATGCAGAGAATTGCAGAGGAAGAAGATTCTCGAGCTTTATTATGACTCACGAGAAAGAGAGAGAGAGTGGCCGGCACGATGGAAGAGAGAGAAAGAAAGAAAGAATAACAAATGAATGAGAGAGAGGGATTGCGATTTGCTAAGCGCAAATTAGAGATGAAAGAAACTGGTTCCCGCGTTGTGGGTTACGTTTGAGGAGACATGAGACGGCCGTTATTATTATTATTATTTATATATTTATTTTGTTCATTATTATTGTTAGTTTTTTTGCTTGAATGCCGTAAAGTAATAAAGTTTTGCTTCTCTTTTTTGAATCTCAGAGACCCACTTTTTCACCTTCCATTTCATCCGCACGTGGGCCATATCTATTATTACCGCCTTTTTCCCTGACATTCTGTTTTCTTTTTCTCATTGGCTTTGCTTGTCAATGTTGTCATTATATGAAAATATTCGTGGACCCAGTAAAGTTCTACATTGCTGGGACTGTACTGATGCTGGCCCAGCTTAGGAATCCCTCATCAATCTATAAATTAATCTAATTTAGAGCAATTGATATTCAAATTTAGGTGCAATGAGACGAGTTATTTATTTTAACCAACTGACCTAATTTACGTCTGTGAAATAAACATCAACAATTCCGTAATGTGTCACTGAGTGCAAATGGATGGTGGGTGAATCTATGTCTGCTTGTAGGTCCCTCTCAAAAATAGAACACCCTTCTTTGCAAGCAATTGCAAAAAAATCACCCATTTATAAAAGCGATGGGGCACATGTAGTGTTTAGGACATTGTAATCAGAGAGACAATGATATTAACTGGTGATGGTTAATTCATTCACAACGAGAAGAAAAAAACATGATCGTTTGTTATGGATGGTTCAATTGGTTTCTTTTTAAATATTTTTTCAACTTTGTGGGTCAAATTTGTATAAGAAAGTGTTGTGTGTTCTAGCTTTGTGTCTGTCATTTTGTATGTAGAAAGACACAACGTGAATGAAGTTTGCCGTCCCAAACAGAAGATTTGGTGTAAAACTTTCTTGTTCAAGTCAAAAGCTGACCACTTCAATCATCCAATCCAACACAATTTTATAAAAAAGATCTTATATTGGTTTGGTAATATACATTAAACTTATATTAATTAAACCTAATCATCCAATAGTAGAAAGATTAATGCACATCTCCCAGATGGCAGATGGCTGAGTAACTTGGGCTGTTTTGAAGTGAAATGAGTTGGACGTGTCGGAGTGAGGAGACGAAGAAATATTGGCATTTGATTTCATTTCATGTGGGCTATTTGTTTGGTTGTGTTGATTTGGCCGGCAATGTACCACAAATCCAAGCTGGAATGAGACAATGATAGCATGTAGCATTTTTTTTCAATAAAGTTTTTTAGCCTCTTATGGCTTGGACAGAATGGAAATAGATTAGAGGGAGATACTTTGACTGTGTGACAAATTTTCATTTATTGATTTGAAAACTAGAAATGGCTACAACTGCAGCAGCTTGGTTTCATGTTAAAGGTAAAGCACCTGTCAAGACCAAATCCATGTTTGGTGATTTAAAAAAAAATAAAAATGAAAAGAATCACAGGAATTGATTTGAATTTCATTAATGGTTCAGATGAAAAATCCAATCTATCAATAGCAACAACCAGAAACTACAAAAATCTAGAAGAGGTGACATATTTTCTTTGATTTACAATTAATCTAAGTCAAGTCCATCGCAATTTCTGATTTTGTGGCAAACAGCATATGATTATGAACAGAAAAACAACCATTTTGGTTAGAGGTTCTAGTTAATCATGTGTGGCACCCCGGATTATGACTATGCAGCCCAGCAATTCGTACACTTCGAGGTTTATACATTAGCTCTAACACCTGCAATGAGCATGGCTTGTATAATCCCGTTATCAGCTGAGGCATAAACTTCAACCAATCAACAAGATGATTCCAAGCATATCCAAATACTGCCTGAAAAGGGGGTCGGGGCAATTCAATAGCTTCGGCTTGATACATTGGTGAAGTCCCTGACAGCGCCTTGAAGATGCACTAACTTACAGGAAAACCAGCCAATGAACCTTCCTAACTCTTCCAACCCAAGGCGGAAAGATCGCCTTGTTTTAAAGCCATGTGCTTTCCAAGCCTGAAAATTTGAAGTCAATTAGCAAGCAACTCAAAGGGTCTAGGGGTAAATTATGATGGATGGTGGCTATTGCATATGCATGTTCCTTGTACAAATTAAACAGAGCATCAGATAACTTTTAGTTATGATACCAACTACAAGAATGAAATAAATGCTAAATACTTTTGACATGAATAACTGCCAATACATAACAGGGCGATCTCATGAACAATTACCCAAGATCTGATGGAAGCCTGAAACCACCTATGCGTACGCGCTTTAATGAATGTATCTGGAACAAGAAGACAGAGAAGTAGCCAGCATAAGCAGAACATAAATTTCAAAAACAAGATACAATACAGGTAAGAACTAGCGGGGAATTTAAGATTGGTGAGTCCATGTCATCAAAGGTCAAATTTATTACCATATTTTCAGTTTCTAGGGTAATGACCACACAGATCTTTAAAATCATACCTCAAGTTCACAACATGTACGTGGAACATAGAAACAACTGTAACTCTCTAACAACTTCAAAAAAAGCATAATGACAAATCAAAACATTTAAAAAGAAAACAAAATTAGGAATATTTTTAATGAAAGTAAAGTATTTACAGTCTTAAAGCAGCAAGAAGAAAACTTTTCTTCAATATAGTTACAAATCTAACCTCAAGTCCAGCATTTTTCACTAGTTCTCGTACTTCGTGGTTCCTCCCTTCATGAACCTACATGAATCCAGGTGGATAAAATGAAATCCATGTGATCGGTATTGCACAAGTTGAAATTGCATGCTTTAGCCACAACTTTATAGTTGATCAGGTTAACATTCTGTGTGCATCTCCTTAGTCAGAAGGCAATGTAGCTTCCCCAAAACACGATAACATGAAACAGCATATCATTCTGGAGATCTTCCAAAGTTAAATACCCAGTGTTATCTTATCAACCCGAAGAATGATAATGTTCATATCCAATACAGTTTCCACTCATGCCATTAAAATTATAAGATTATCAAATCTTGAAACATTGATTGTGCATGAGAAGATACAGTCCATGAGCAAAAGAAATGAAAAACAAAGGGATAAAAGTATCTTATAATAGCATTTTTGGGCTAACAAAACAATGATACGTCAACATATAATCTGTCACCGTTTTCATATAAAAAAGAGAAAAGAAAGCAAAAGAGAGGCATGAACAGATAATTAGTACCACAATACGCATACGGGGTCTTGACATATCTGGCTGTTGTGGTAGCAACTCCACAGAATCTGGGGTGCAATGGACGCCTTCAATGACTGTTCCCTCACTGATGGCTAACAGGTGCCGCTTACTGACTACACCTTCTATTGCTGCAATGTATCTACAATTACAATGTAAAGGTGTAGGTCATCAGCATTCATATTCCAATGGAAATTACTTGTACCACAAAATATCAACTAACGGAGAACAATGACCAGATGATGACATTATGAACTTGCAAATACATATGCCCAAATTTGTTTTTTGAACCAACTTGAAATCCATTTCTTAGAAATTTTTAATAATCTTACTTTTTCACATGATTTCAGGCATAAATTTTTTGTTTCGAATGTTCTTTCTATATTGATGGTTAAACATGATAGTCCTAAAATAGTAGAAGAGAACAGAATGATGTGTACTCTTACTCCTTTGACAAGTTTGATGAAGGATGTGATATTTTTTGAGCAAAATCTCCTGAGAACATATAACAATGGATTAGGATATTAGCTGAATCAGTTCTATTTGAAATTTTTGTACAAAGACAGATGCATATATGTTTTGAATATACTACCATCATTAGTCACAATGATCAACCCAGTTGTAGCAACATCAAGACGGCCAACAGTAAATAGTCGTGGTCTGGGTATTCCGGAATTTCTCTTATCCTGAAAATGCAAAATACAAGTTGATCAATTGACGAATTGAATGCATGAATATGCTACCCGGATACATTTCTAAATGCTAAAATAATCCTTTAATCCATACTTGCCCACATAGGCAGTAGGCATCAAATTGAAGAAGTGTTAGACGAAAATGCAAAATGCATGGAAAGCCATAACATACCCAAGTCTTCAAATAATCTTCAAATAGACTCAACACAGATTTATTCTCCCCAGATGCGCAAATGTACCTATCATCATAATATAAATGCATTAATTTCAAATTGAAAAAGTTGCAACAAAGAATAGGGTGTGAGTTTGGGCTTGGGCTTAGGTGGTGCGAAGGTGATGTTGAACTCTAGAGAGGAAGAAGAAGAAGAAGAAGAAGAAGAAGTAGAGAGGGAACAGGTGATGCGAGGGAGTGTACGGATGGGTATGAGAGCGAGTGAGGGTTTGGAGAAGAGTGAAGAAGAGAGTGAAGAAGAGAGCGAAGCTAGTGCAGCAGCTGCCACTGAAGCCATTTTTGGTTGCCAGGTCTTTTGGTTTTTGGTTGAGGTTTTTGCAGTGGATATATATTATTTTATTATTAATTGGATGGGCATTTTTGTTTAATGATTGGGCTTTTTTAGGACCTTATGGTTTACGATCCAAGAGGTAGATATATTTATTTATATCTCAAAACTCTCAGAAAAATAACTTTGAAATATTTGAGTATTAGACCCAGCGATAACCCGTGAGTCAGATAAAAGAATATAATGTTACGTTAAAACTCGTGAAGAAGAGAAACATGTGAGAGTTGGTCCTTGTCAAAAGCTTTAGCCACTTTGTTATAACCTATGTTGCACGGACACGGGTACGGGGGCACGAGAACACGACACGGCGACACGGAAAATCTCAAAAAATTAGGACACGTGTACGGCTAGGACACGGTAATTAAAATAATAATTTATTCTCAATACTTCAATGTCACATAATTCTATAAAACAAAACAAATAACTCATGCTCATCATCCATACATAATAATTAATACACCACAAAAATAAAACATAAATAATCTAACTCTCAATCTTCTTCAAGCATTTATATCTTCATTGTTGTTGTTATTAGAAAACAACACGCCCTCTAATTCCGGTTCATCAAGTGATTCACATTCATCTTTCCCTTAAAAAAAACTCAGTAGCGCTTCTCAGCGCCCTCCTTCTTCTTCGTCTTGCTCTTGGTCTCAATGGCCTGGAGGAAACGCGCAGGAGGGTGCGACTGGAGCTTGAGGTTGCCATCCTCGCCGCGGACGATCCACGGGATGATAAGCTGGCCGGCGAGAGCCTCTGGGTCGGGCTCTGCAGAGTCGGGTTTGAGTTTGGGCTTGGGCTTAGGTGGTGCGAAGGTGATGTTGAACTCTAGAGAGGAAGAAGAAGAAGAAGAAGAAGAAGAAGAAGAAGAAGAAGTAGAGAGGGAACAGGTGATGCGAGGGAGTGTACGGATGGGTATGAGAGAGACTGAGGGTTTGGAGAAGAGTGAAGAAGAGAGCGAAGCTAGTGCAGCAGCTGCCACTGAAGCCATTTTTGGTTGCCGGGTCTTTTGGTTTTTGGTTGAGGTTTTTGCAGTGGTTTTTGTTTAATGATTGGGCTTTTTTTGGACCCTATGGTTTACGATCCAAGAGGTAGATATAAATAAGATATATTTATTTATATCTCAAAACTCTCAGAAAAATAACTTTGAAATATTTGAGTATTAGACCCAGCGATAACCCGTGAGTCAGATAAAAGAATATAATGTTACGTTAAAACTCGTGAAGAAGAGAAACATGTGAGAGTTGGTCCTTGTCAAAAGCTTTAGCCACTTTGTTATAACTTATGTATGCTTCTGGCTAATAATAATATGCAAGCAAACTGAAGGTGATAAAAATTTATTATTAATGATCATGTTTTTTTTCCCAATATTACAATTTTAATTTGGAAACCCGAAAATACACCGATTAGAATCAATTGAAAAAATTTACCAGCAACTCTGGACGAGTGGGCTGAAAATCTTGTAACAAATTATTTTGGCAGATGTCTGTGTGAGACGATCCCAAGAGAGCAACAATTAATTTTCATAAACGTGTATACTATCACCAAATGCTGTGCATGGCAGGCATACTCCTTTGCACCAGAATAAGGCTGGAAAACTTGCCGCCAGTTAATGTATCCGCGAAAAATGAATGCGCAAACCTGAAGCACGGACAAGCGGCCGATATTCGTTAACTACTGATTAATTCCATAAACTAATTTGTTGATCAGGATTAGAGAGACATCCAGTGATAAACAGGAGATCAATGGACTTACTAAACATGTTTCCCATCATGGAACTGAGCATTTCTTGAAGATTTGAAGGTTTCCAAAAATTCTTTGGCCTTCTGTAACTCGTACTTCTGCCTCGAATCATCCCAGCTGTGTTCAGAAGCTAATATTTCAATTACACGAGGCAATGCCCTGCTTGCTGCATCAGTATCAAGGAAAGCAAGCCGAGATCTCCGAGCAATGAAATCAATGGCAGATTCACAGTACTCATTTCGAGCACAGTAAGCAACCTCAGCCTCTAGAATTGGGTATCCATGGGCAAGCCTCTTCCCCAGATTTTCATTCTAAAATATGAAAAGAAGAAGTTAAAAGTAAGCATTAACCTCAAAAGCAAGTGAATAATCCAAAGAAAGGTCAATAAAGTCACAATCTTGCATGCTGAATTACAATTCCAAATTTCCCAGGGATTACAAGTTTATGCACTAACATAATCCAGAGTGGTAAAGATTATGGAGCAAACATCAGTGTACCATAACCATTCTCCAACAAACTTACTTCTAAAGATGTTTAATAATCAGTGACTAACTTTATATTTGAAAAATTCAATTAAAAAGAAACCTAATCCCTTTCAAACGCTCATGATACATATGGGCCCCCACCACCCATCAATGCATGGTGTTCTTGGACTCACCATTACTCTAGATGGTGAATATGTTATTGATTGTGAACCAATATTGGGTTATTTACACCGAGGGATAGAAAATTGCGCAAAACCAAACAATTATACAATATTTGCCCAAACGCTCTTCTTACATATGAGAATAGACACCAGCAACAACAATAGCATATTATGATAGGTCATAACTACAAAGTGAAATTGGAGCGAGAAACCAACCTGAGCAATGGCAGCAACTCGTTCAGCCCAAGTACCATATGCATGGGACAGATGCTTTGCTGCAGCAGTGTCCATCACTCCAGGAACAACTTTACCATGACTCTTCTTCATGCGTGTATATTGTTGAGCAATAACTGTAAAAGATGCAGGGTCCCATCCATCTCCACCGACAATCTGCAGCTTCGAGGTCAAACATCCATTTTGTGGGGTGAGCCTTCCAGACTTTATTGCTGCATTAACCGCATCTTCTGCCATGCTGAAAAATTTCTAGTCAGCAAAATACTTGAGTGGAGTCAGACAGACAGAGAGGAAGGCAGGCATACAAAGGGAGTGACAAAGATGTTAAGGGTAAAGGTCTTAGTTTATAATGTCAATATACCTAAACATTTAAGCCTACTATTAAGTACGCCATCTGCAAAACAATCTATAAGGGACATTCGAAAAGAAGCCTATCCAACTACATAAGTATACTGTTGCCTAGTCTCAAATTGGAAACCCCTGTGGATGTGTAGCTTCAGTTGCCAGTGAAGGACAACCTCTAACTATAAACTAAATCATCTCAGCACAACTAAATAAACATTACCCACGGTAAGTGGTCCACTTGCCACCTGTGATTGTTACCAAACCAGGATAATCTTCACATACAACATGATCTCTGGAGATGCTCTCGGTGTTTTTTGCAGATGGATCTGTTGCCAAAGGGCGAATACCACTCCATGCGGAGAGAACGTCTGTGCGTCGTACCTATATTTTTCCAGAATACTTTAGTCTCAACAAGAAAACTAAACCAAAAAAGAAAGAGAAAGACACCAAGACTGAGCTACAGCACTAAATGCTTAGATATAAAGTATCAACTAGACAAAGAATTCCTTAAGGAAAAAGTGTTATACTGAGGAGTGAATCAATAGCCTGTTATTCGTTTCAGGATCTCTTAAGCTGTCAAGGAAAATAATGCTCCATAACCTGAGATAGTAAATTCAACAACAGATGACAGATGCATGTTTCCTTACACTGCCTCCCATAACAAACATATAAGAAACATGAATCATGCATTACTTGCTATAAGTGCTTGTGTCAGCCAATCATACAAAGGGCCAAAATGACATGTGACAAGCCCTGAATGCTGATACACGTGCACTACTTTTCCAATCTGAATAGGGATGATTCAAAGAATTGGCTTGATCATACTGTGAAATTTACACACAAAATACTGACTAGCTGACCAAATAGACAGAAAAGCAATCATTGAGAAAACAGATATTTAATTTTGTCTAACATCTATTTGATGTGTGATAAACATGGTGCTGGGTAATTGAAACGTGGATAAGCAATGCAGGCAAAGATGCCACCCACACAAACACGGGGAATCACAGACCTTGACATTCAGGTAATCACAAATGGCATCCAGTATGAATTGAATCTCATCCTCATGTGGTTCAGGAAGCAGAGTAATAGGGGTGTTGGAATCTGTGGTGCCAGCAATTGTTCGTCCCAACCACGGTAGCATGAAAACAACACGTCCATCCTTAGTTTTAGGAACAATCAAACCCATACCTTCAGGAGAATAATAATCAGGAAGTACGATATGTACACCACTGCTTGGACATATCATAGGCTTTACATCTTTGTCTGCCAGCTTCCTTACAGAATCACAAAATGGCCCAGCAGCATTCACAACAACTTTTGCATATGTATCAAACTCTTTTCCTGGGAACTTAAGAAAATACAGTAAGAATCACAATGCTCAAAAGGAAATCTTCAAATCATCATTCACATAATCACACCAACATAATATATGTCACTAGAAGAAGAAGAAGTGTGTTCTAATTCTACCTGATAAATTGTCTCGGATTCTTGCACCAATTGTCCGATTGCTAGCCTCATCCTTCAAAAACGAAACCACTTCTGCATGGTTAAGCACTGCTGCACCAGCTACTGCAGCAGAGCACGCCAATCCAACATTAAGACGTGCGTCATTCATCTGCCCATCATAATACACCACAGTGCCCTTCAAGCTTTTATTGTTACCCTTCCTTGCAAGAGTGGGGAAGAGCTCAACAGATTCTTGTGCCGAATAATATCTAGACACATGTAACAGGCGTAGTCCTGCGACCAAATCGTACATTTTCAAGCCCATCCAGTAGTATACTACCTCAAACCAGTCAAAACATGGTGTCATGCATGGCAAAGCATGACAGAGGTGTGGTGCATTCTCAATAACCTGTTTACGCTCCTCAAGCGCATGGAATACCAGCTTCAGCTGCCCGTAGTCAAGATTAAAAACAGCTTTCTCCAAGTACCGAACACCTAACAGAATAATTTTGCATAAGCCACCAAGATAGAAGTCAATTAAAAATAAACAATTAGCCGTAAAATGTTATCGAATTAAAGTAGCTTAAAAAAGGCTAATAATTATTAACTCCAAATGAAAAGGTTGAATATCATATCAGCCACCATATCTTACAGCCCACTTTAATTAGTATTTATCATAGCAACAGATAAATATAGGTTTAGTATGACAACAAAAAAAAAGGTACAAAAATGGATCGCCTTAGGCCAATCATAATCATACAGTCTACATCGAAAAAATACAACAAATCTCCCCTTAAAATTAAAATGAAAATCGACAACCATATACTGTAGCAATCTATAGAGCTAACAAAATTGCAACGGTTCTCATTGACGCACACAAATGCATTAACAAGACGATGAAACCAAGAAACGTCAACAGCAACCGGAAATGACAAAATTGAAACTAGACAAACCGCTTAATGTAACGTATACGCATACAACTACAAGTCTACAAGTACATGAATCATAATTGTATATACGCATACCTCCGTGAATTAGCTTCGTGGACCGCGACGACGTGCCAGATGAGAAGTCCTCGCGCTCAACGAGACCAACGCGGAGGCCTCGGGTGACAGCGTCAAAAGCGACTCCACTGCCGGTGGCGCCACCGCCGACCACGAGAATGTCGAGCGGGTTCTCGTCGGTGGCAGCGATCAGAGCACACTCCTGGGCCGCCCTGGACGGAACGACGGCGTTGCGGTCGCTGATCCTCTGGCGAACAGCTGCGATGGATGCAGGCCCACTGCCGCGATCGCTGTCGGAGTACGACGGTTGGATGAGGAACGCGCCGCTAGCTGCGGTTGCGACAGCGGCGGCGGCTCCGAGCCGGCGCAGGCGTATGGCGGTGGCCATTAATTCGGGAGTTTTGTGAGAGAGAGAGAGCGCGAAGGAGAAAGAGAGAGAGAGGTAGCGTTGGGAATCGGTCGCGGGGTATTTGGATTTTTGGATGAGTTGGTTTTGGAGTGAGATGCTATAGTGTCGTAAACTCTCGTGCTTGTTGGTTGAAAATGTGACACCCTTGTCTTTTTCTTAATTTATCATCTATTACCCGCGTTTTAATGAATTTTTTATTTACCTTTTCAACTCTTTTTTTCCGAAAGGACTATTTCAACTTTAAATAAATACA